GATAGAATGATCAGCACTGGGTTTGAGAAAATACCTATAATGTTTATAAGTATATTTAGATTCCTAAAACTATTTTTTAAAGTATGAAATTGTTTGAGGTACAGGAAAGTGAAATATGATTAAATGTGGAGGTTTTGTTCTGACCATATTTTTGCTTCAAGATTATCCCCCATAACTTAACTATTTTCTGTTCCCAAAGGGATATAAACTTGTAGAAAATACTTTGAAAAGGCCTGAAGAAACCCTGGGCCTGGCAAGTTATACATCTCTTTATTTTCCCATCTATACTGATGGGTTGACAGTATTCTTACTGTATGGTTCATCTGTATTTTCTAATTAGTATGTCTTTTTTTAGTTGAGCCCATCATTGCAGTCACTGTGTCAGTCCATCACATTGAGGGTCTTCCCCTTTTTCTCTGACCCTCCACTTTACCAAGCATGATATCCTTCTCCAGGGAATGGTCCTTCTGACAGCGTGACCAAAGTAGGTGAGACGAAATCTGGCCATTCTTGCTTCCAAGGAGTATTCCAGCTGTACTTCTTCCAGGACAGATTTGTTAGTTCTTCTGGCAGTCCATGGTACTTTCAATATTCTTGACCAACACCGCAGTTAAAAAGCATCAACTCTTTTTTGGTCTTCCTTGTTCATTATGCAGCTTTCATATGCATATGAGGTGATTGAACCCACCATGGCTTGGGTTAGGTGCACTGTAGTCTTCAAAGAGACATCTTTGCTCCTTGGAACTTTGTTGTTGTTATGTGCCGTCAAGTCAGACCTGACTCATAGCAACCCCTCCTTGGGTTTCTGAGGCAGTATCACCACGGAAATAGATTGCCCCATCTTCCCTCCAAGGAGTGGCTGGTGGGTTTGAACCTCCAGCCTTCTGGTTAGCAGTCAAGTGCCTTAGCCACTATGCTACCAGAGCTCCCCTTTGGAACTTTAAAGAGATCTTTTGCAGCACATTTGCTGAGTGCAGTACATAATCTGATTACTTGACTGCTGCTTTCTTTGGTGTTGATTGTGGAACCAACAAGCAATATGAAATCTTTGACACCTTCGATCTTTTCTCTATTTATCATGATGCTGCTTATCCGGTTGTGAGGATTTTCGTTTTCTATATGTTGAGGAGGTGTAATGCATACTCCAGGCTGTAGTCTTTAATCTTCATCAGTAAGTACTTCAAGTCACTTTCACTTTCAGCAAGCAAGATTATGTCATCTGGATTATGTCAGGTTGTTAAGGAGTCTTCCTCCAATCCTGATGCCACGTTCTTCTTCATATAATGCAACTTCTCGGATTATTTGCTCAGTGTACAGATTGAATAAGTATGGTGAAAGGATACAGCCCTGACGCACTCCCTTCCTGATTTTAAACCATGCAGTATCCCCTTTTTCTGTTCAAACAACAGCCTCCTGGTCTATATACAGGTCTCTCATGAGCACAATTAAGTGTTCTGGAATTCCCATTCTTGTTTGTGTTATCTATAATTTGTTATGATCCATACAATTGAATGCTTTCACATAGTCAATTAAAATACAAGTAAACATCATTCTGGTATTTGCTTTCCGCCAAGATTTATCTGACATGGGCAGTGATATCCCTCATTCCTTGTCCTTTTCTGAATTCAGCTTGCATTTCTGGAAGTTCCCTGTCAGTATGCTGCTGCAACCATATTTGAATTATCTTCAGCAAGATTTTCCTTGCGTATGATAGTAATGATATCATTCGATAATTTCCACATTCTTTGGGATCACCTTTATATGGAATGGGTACAAATATGGATCTCTTCCAGTCAGTTGGCCAGGTAGCTGTTAGAGATTTCTTGGTGTGGACGAGTAAGCTCTCCAGCATGACATCAGTTTGTTGAAACATTTCAGTGGGTATTCCGTCACTTCCTGGAGCCTTGTTTTTTGCCAATTGCTTCAGTGCAGCTTCAACTTCTTCCTTCAGTACCATTGGTTCTTGATCACATGCCACTTCCTGAGATGGATGAACATCGATCAGTTATTTTTGGTACAGTGACTGTATATTCCTTCCATCTTCTTTTGATGCTTTCTGCATCATTCAGTATTTTGCCCATAGAATCTTTTGATATTGCAACTCAATGATACTGAATTTTTTCTTCAGTTCTTTCAGCTTGAGAAATGCCAAGTGTATTCTTCCCTTTTGGTTTTCTAATATCAGGTCTTTGCACATTTCATTATAATAATTAACTTTGTCTTCTTGAGCTGCTCTTTGAAATCTTCTTTTTAGGTCTTTTATCTTGTCATTTCTGCCATTTGCTGCTTTGGCTACTCTCTGCTCAAGAGCAAGTTTCAGAGTCTCTTTGTGACATCCATTTTGGGCTTTTCTTCCTTTCTTGTATTTTTAACAACCTTTGCTTTCTTCAAGTATTACATTCTTGATGTCATCCCATAATACATCTGATTTTCAGTCATTGGTGTTCAGTGCATAAAATCTTATTTTTGGATGGTCTCTAAATTCACATGGGATATAATCTGGGTCATATTTTGGCTCTCGTGGACTTGTTTTAATTGTCTTCAGCTTCAGCTTGAACTTGCATGTGAGTAGTCAGTGGTCTGTTCCACAGTCAACTCCTGGTCTTGGTTTGGCTAAAGATACTGAGTTTCTCCATCCCCTTTCCACAGAGATGTAGTCAGTCTGATTCCTGTGTATTCCATCTGGCGAAGTCCATGTATATAGCCGCCATTTATGTTGAAAAAAGATATTTCCAATAAATAAGTCGTTGGTCTTGCAGAATTCTATCACGTGATCTCTAGTGTCATTTCTGTCACCAAGGCCATATTTTCCAACTGCTGGTGGTAACTTTTGCCTTTGAATCACCAGTAATGATCAACACATCTTGATTACATGTTTGGTCAATTTCAGACCGCAGAAGTTGGTAAAAGTCTTCAATTTCCTTGGCTTTGGCTTTGATGGTTGGTGTGTAAAATTTAAATAGTAATAGTATTAATTGGTCTTCCTTGTAGACATATGGATATAATCCTATCACTGATAGCATTATATTTCAGGATGGATCTTGAAACATTCTCTGTGATGACAAATGCCACGCCATTTGTTTTCAGTTCGTCATTCCCGGCATAGTAAATCATATGGTTGTCTGATTCAGAATGTCCAAAAGCCAATCCATTACAGCTCACTAATGCCTAAGATATCTTATCTTTATGCGTTCCATTTCATTTTTGATACTTCCTCATTTTCCTAGATTCATACTTCGTACATTCCCTCTTCTGATTATTAATGGATGTTTGCAGCTATTTCTTCCCATTTTGAGTTGTGCCACATCATCAAGTGGAGGTCCCAAAATCTTTACTCCATTCATGTCATTAAGGTCAACTCTACTTTGAAGAGGCAGCTTTTCCCCAATCGTATTTTGAATGCCTTCCATCCTCAAGTGCTTATCTTCTGACACTGTATTGGACAGTGTTTCAGGGATAGTTGTAAATTTTTCCAGTAATATGTCAGACAGCGTTTCACTGCTATTGTAAGGTTTTCACTGGCCAATTTGAGAAGTGAATGGCCCCTTCCTTCTTCCAAGTCTGTCTGTCCGGAAGCGCCACTGAAATCTGTCCACCATTGGTGACTCTGTGGTATAGCCTCCAGCCTTACAGCGACATGTAAGCCACTGCAGTATGAGAACTGACAGACAAGTGGTGGGATTCAGCCCCCCACTGTCCAACTCTGAAGCTGGAGAGATTGAACATAAGACTTTATTAGATATTGCAAAAAGGACAAGGAGGCCACATGTTCTGACCTCCTCTAATCCCACAAGAGGAAGACAGAATCACCATCAATAGCCCAAGGCCTATTCCTGCCAGGCCAGACATGCTGCCTCCCTCCAGCCCTTTCTCCAACCGTTCCTCCCAAAGCACCCACCACCTCTCTCCTGGGTTTGATAATTCGCTACAATGGCCACACAGAACTCACAGATTATGGAGTTTATTAGGGAAGCACCGGGCTACAACTCAAGTTCAGGAAAAGCGCTCAGTCTCTCTCCTAGCCTACCGTCTGTCAGCCAAGTCTCTCACAGTCTCTCCCCCAGCAGTGCATGTCCCTCGGTGTCTTACTCAGCAACACGTGTCTCTTGCGTCTCTTTCCCAGCAGCACGTGTCTCTTTCAGGAGCGCTTGTCTCTTTCAGCAGCACTTCTTCCTCAACCAGCAGTCAGAGAGAGTTCTGCCTCTAGGAGGCCTCCTTTTGAGCCCGGCAGAGTGGCCAAACCAACCAATCATAACAGAATTCTAAGCACCTGAGAGTGAGCCTCCCATAACATTGTGTTGTGCCACGCCCAACAGAAATAACCCAGGTGGATGACATTTACAATCAGGAGCTCCTCAGTTGCTCATTCCACCACTGAGTTTACAATGACTTATAGGTAGAAAAGCCACACTAAGTAATTTACTACACTACAGATATGAATAGATGAAGCCTTTTCTTCTCACCTATCTGGATGGTAGAATCGGATCCCTGTCTTAAAGCAAAGAACTAGATTAAAAGAAGTTAAGATTTTAGTCAGTCCTCAGACTATATGAAAGAAACTCAGATTTTTCCAGGTTGCAGGTCACAGTTTACTGGGGTCACTGTGAGTCAAAAATTGACTTGACAGTACAAGACAACAACATTTCATGAATAGATGAGGCTTAGATATATAGAATATGCCCAAAGAGACAACAGTTTTAGTCCAGGCTCTTTGGGTCCAAGACCTAATGAGAGATTTCTCTGAAGCCATTTGTGAATACCTGGGCAGAATTTACTGCTTTCTAATCTGTTCATGTAGCATATTATTTTATTATATTTACTTATTTTCATGTTTCATTTGACTAGTAGTCCTGACCATGCCTTTGGTAATTCCAGGATCTAGCATGTAGTAGACATTCATTAAATGTTTGATGGATAATTGAGTGAATGGTGTTTGTACCCAGGGTCAACCACATTAAATAGAAACTGTGTTAAGCCTCTCCATCCCTTTTGTCTTGTAGCTATTTGTAGTGGATGTCCAGACAAGCCAGATCACCAAGATTCCCATTCTGAAAGACCGGGAGCCTGGAGGGGTGACCCAGCAGGGCTGTGGTATCCATGCCATTGAGCTGAATCCCTCTAGAACACTGTTGGCCACTGGAGGAGACAACCCCAACAGTCTTGCCATCTACCGACTACCTACACTAGATCCTGTATGCGTAGGAGATGTAAGTTTTCCCAGTAATTACAGTTAGAGATGACCTTCTTTTTATAAACATGGCACCTATAGCATGGGCTCCTCTGGGAAAGGTAGTATCCTTTAGATTTCTGCTGACTTCAGGGGCATGGGAAGGAAATACAGGGTAGAGGTATCAGAATGGGGACTGGACTTCCTACAGGGAATACTAGGTACGTTGACAGTATATGTTTGATAAAGGGACCAGTGGCAGTGGGTTGGTATATTTCAGAGGGTGATAAGTGCCTCAGAGAAAAGTAAAACAGTTTAAAGGGATAGGGAGTGCTGGTGGAGAATTCTGTTTCAGAAGATACTCAGGGAACACCTCACTGATAAGGGGACATTTGACAGACTTAAAGGAAACGAGGGTGCACACCATTACATGTCTAGAATGGACAGAGTTCCAAATAGCAAAGGAGCTGTTGATAGCCATGGTCCTAGGGAGCAAGGGGAAGATTGATAGGACAAGGGGGAGGAGTTCGGTGATTGTGTCTAGACACTCCAGATATGGTATGCGCAGGTAGAAGTCCAGAGCTGTGTGTCATTTAGACATATTTATTGCTCAGATGGTTGCCATTTTCATTCCAGCTTTGAGCTCCTCGAGGCAGAAGCTAAAGATTGTGCAGTCATGCCCTATGGGTTGAACATCACCAGAGCTATAATTTTTACAAAGATATTTTCTGTCAGATGTGTACTTTTCAGGAAGACGTGATCTGTATTTCATTAATTTCTTTGTTTTTTCCTGTACTCATCATGCCCTCTCCAAGGATGGACACAAGGACTGGATCTTTTCCATTGCATGGATCAGCGACACTATGGCAGTGTCTGGTAAATTTGCTCTTTTGTAGGGAGCTTTGGTGTGGTAAAGAGGGAGGGATATAGAAGTTTGAAGAGGTATAGTGATATGATTGGTGATAGTCTGGAAAGAACATTGGCCAGGGGCCTGGAAGATCCTGTTTCCAGTCATAACTCTATGCCTAACTTACCATGTGACCTTAGATAAGTCATTTCCCCTGTATCTTAACTTCCTGATCTGGAAAGTAGAGATATTGGCCTACTTCATTTATTATTCATGTTATGCTATCTTGTTCTAAAAAGCATGTGTAGTAATATATTAACCTCGAGGTTTTTGTGTGGATTCATCAAGATAACGGCTGTGAACATGTTGTGGAAAAGTTGATGTGCTCTCCAAAGTGTTAGGAACAATTATCATTTTCTGTACAACTGTGTAACATTAAATTTCTTGTTAATAGAAGTTGTACAGGATTGGGTGTATTTCTTTGTCAGTGGTTAGAACTTCTGGAAAAAAAGATAGGGACAAATGAGTGTAAAAAAAATAACCTAGAGATATACGTACTTTTTAGTGCCCACAGAAGCCTAAAAATAAAAAGTAGGCTCAGAGTGCTAACTAGTTTTGCTGGGTACCCATATATAAAAATATAACCTATTTCAGATACCCAAATTTAAAAAATAATCATAATAGTCATTGTACTAAGTATTTCATGTGGTCTTACATAATCTTAAGAACACTAGTAGAAGGTTTGTATTAGTAGCCTCATTTCACAGATGAGATTTTATGGAGCCAAGATTTGTATCTAGATCTATCTGATTTCAGAGCCCATCCTTAGAACTGCTGCTTAAAGCAAAGAGAACATAAATATTTTCCTTGGTATTCTTAGCAAGGCAAAAGAAAGCAACTAGAATGGAAATTAAATCAAATAGTGAAGCATAGTTGCAGGTCAGGTTTCCTAGGAGGGATTCAGAATCTTTCAGATTCCCTGTCATTTGCCTCCAAAGTGAGTGTAAGCTCCTTAAAGGCAGTTGCTGAGTCATGTTATCTCTATGAGAATTGTCCCCATGACTGTCTGTAACATGCTTTAGGTTTGGGAGCCAAGATTTGGCTTTGTTTTGGGAGCTTCCCATCCCTTCTTTCCAATACTCTGCATCATGTTCCATGTACTCAAGCTGATAGCTCCCTAAATAGTATAGCAAGGATTAAGAGCATTGGCTCTGATATTGGAGACCTGAATGGAATTCTGGGCTTGCCATTTATTAGCACTCTGGCCTTGGGCAAATTACTTAACCTTTTTGACTTGATTTTCTCATCTATAACCTTAATAATTGTTGTGTATACCTCAGAGGGTCACTGAAAAGATTTAGTGGGATAATGCGTAGTAGTTGCTATGTTGAAAATGCACAATACTTGTTAACCGTTGTTGATGTTCATACTTGATGAGCATTATTAACTCCTAAACATTCCACCTCAAAATAAGTTTATTCAAGCTCTTCATTTTCTTTCCAGAGTGCACCCCTCCCTTCCATTGTGCACAAGCCACAAAACTGTCTCACTGCAGGCTCTTCAGTCTCCTTCGCTTTTATATACAGTAGATTACCAATATGTTGTTATATTTTCTAGAATCTCTTTCAGATCTGTCAATTTACTTTCTTCTTGTCTACTTGAGTGCTTATCTGTCTTTTAAATTATGGTGATATCCATTCATATTTTCTCACTATTTCTAGTCTTACTACCTTCATTTCAATCTTGAGGTTCCTGCCAAATTCTTTAAATAATTTTTCTCTTATTTTAAAAGTGATACATATTTATTGTAAAAGATTTTAAAAATACACATCACCCACAGCATCTCTACCCAGATAAAACCACTAACATTTTGAAATATATCCTGCTATCGTTTTATTAATTAATCTATCTTTATTTAAATGGGTTCAAGCGTGGCAATGATTGTAAGGATGGTACTGGACCAGGCAGTGTTTTGTTCTGTTGTATACAGAGTCACTGTGCACCTAACAACATCTTTATTTAATTAGCCTTTTTCTAACACATATTTTTCCGTTGGTAAAAAATGAGTACATATAGAGGGGTGATACACGGACAGGTGTGTGATGAAGCAAGTGTAACCCCTCCTCACTTTTTGACTTGGTTATGTTCCAAAGACAAGGTCGTTACGTGAAAATTGGCATTACGAGAAAATGGAAAATGACGCATATCAGATCACAAAATGGAGGATGGCTAACTACATTACCACTTACCTACCAAACCACTTTGAGACTCTTGGCCTAGTCAAATTGACACATAACTTTAACCATTACAACCAACATTACTGTTGACTTGCACCTAGGCATTCGTTACCACCACACATGCATTTTTAATACACAAAATAGTCAGATAGTAGATCATTTACTATTGTCATAAATGTAAAATGTTGGATAACAAAATAGCTGATGAGTGAGGAGTCCAAAAAAGAAAACCAAACTCACTGCCATTGAGTCGATTTCAACTCATAGCAACCCCCATTGGGTTTCCAAGACAGTAAATCTTTACAGAAGTAGATTGCCCCATCTTCCTTGTGTGGAGCAGCTGGTGGGTTTCAACCGCCAATCTTCTGGTTAGCAGTCAGCTTCCTTAGGCACTATGCCACCAGAGCTCCTTGTAAGTGAGGAGTAGGTGTATAATAAAATGTTATGGTAGAATATATGTGTGGGTATATAGATACTCATTTTTAAATTATTTCAACATTTTAATATGCTTGCAAATTTTTATAATGAATGATGTGGAAAAATGAGTTCATACTCTATACAGAATAATCTCCATAATACATCTGATTGTGTCACTTGCATGTTTAAATAATCTTTGCCTGGCTTTCTGCTTATCCATAGGATGAAATACAAACTTGCTAGCAGAACATACAAGTCTCCTGCCCGCCTCTCCAAGTTTGTCTCCCCCGTATACCTCCATAACCTAGCATAGTAAACCATGTCTACAATACTTCTATAGGTGTGCTGTCACTGGCCTTTTCTGGATTTTTAGATATAAGTGATGAACCCTCCACTTTGAATTCTTGCCAACTAGCCTTATGATGCAAATAAATGGGATGATATATCTCCCAGGTTAGTTTTTACTATGAAGCATTTGGTTGATTTATAATGGGGAAAAGGCAGCTTCTGATCTCGAAGAAAAGTTGACAAATAACTTTAAAGAAAAAGGAATTAACCTAATTGGAGCAGTTACCATAACTGTCAGATTCAAGGCCTGAAGGTCTAATAGAGAGGTAGGGAGGCTTCTGCACATCATCTGGGAATCTTTGAGTTCCTCCTTCGCTCACCACAGCTAATCTTGAAATCTTTCCAGAATGTCCTTTCTTGCTTGTTCTCTCTCTGTCTCTCCCCCTCTTCCCCTCCCTCTCCCCCTCTCCTTCTTTCTCTCTCCCCCTCCCTCTCTCCTTCTCTCTCTTTCCTTCTCTCTCTCTCTCTTTTTCCCTCCCTCCATCTCTCCCTCCCTCCCTTTCTTACTGTCTTTATTGCTGGCTTGCTCTTCCAAGCTTAGTTTCTCTTCTTTATCATTCTGACAGTTTCTAACCTCAGATCATCTGACATTTGAGTCAAATTAGTTGGGGCTTCAGTTTGGGGAACAGGCAAAGGTTGTTTTTTTTTTTTTAATTGTGATTTGGGTGAAAATTTACAGAGCACATTCACTTTCCATACCACATACACTTTATCTCATGGCATTGCCTACAATTTACCCCAATGCAACAGCTCTCCTCCCACTTCCTCCCGATAGTTACCTCTTCCCTGTGTCCATCCCTCCGTGCACTCCTGCCCCTTGAGCTGTGCTTAAACAGCCCTTCTTTCTCCCATGATTGTTCTCTCCAGAGAGTGTATCTACCTCAGGTAAATGTCCAACTCATATGCCTCTCTTTTATTTGGCTGGAAGCCACAGGTGTGGGTTCAGTTCCAGACCTGAAGGGCAACTAGGGGCCATAGTTTCAGTGGTTCAGGCAAAAGTTTTTTAATAACTTTTTTTTTTTCTTCATATAAGAAGTCTATCCTTACTGTGGAAAGTTTTAAAAATACTGAAGAATTAGTGTTCTGCAATATTGTGAACATTACCTCATGCCATTAAGTATCTTTTCAAACTTTTTTTTTTAGTTTCTGGATAGTCTGTTGGATGGCTATAACAAAGCCATAATGTTGGACATATAGATTGTTTATATTTGGTGATGCTTATGATAGTGGATCGTTCCTAGATGGGAACATGAACTTTAAGGATTTTGCTATAGATTGCTCAGTTGTACTCTAGAGATGGTACCATTTTAGTGTGCCACCAGAAGTGTATTCAGGACTCATGTCAAAAAAAAAGTTCTTAGTTTTTTAAGTGCTTCATTATTGTTTGCTAAAGAAAATAATTTTTATCTTTTTAAATGTTCCTTTTATGTAGAACAGTAGATTTTAAATATGAGATTGTGGTTCCTATGGTCTATGGAAAGCCTTTAGGAGGCCCATGAACCTCCTTGAAACTGAAAGTAAAATGTGGTGTATTTATGTATTTTTTGTAGGGAAAGAGTGTCTATAATATTAGTAAATGTCTCAAAGGGATCCAAAACTCTAAAAGGTTAAACATGGTTGATCTAGACCAGATATCCCAAACCCTACTGCATAATAGAAGTGACCTAAGCCTAGAAAGTTCCTGAGCTTTATCAAAATATAAAATTGTCTCAAAAAATCCCATCAGCCATGTTAAGCTTAAAGGTTGTACTTTACTAACTATGCCTTTGTTGAATCATCCTCTTAGTATGTCTATTATAGTGCTGCTGTTCTAGGTGTTGGCTAGGCCACCTGACCAAGCTTTAGAACAGCTGAGGTTGATACACAAATAGACTCAGAAAGCCCATCTTGCCTACTGTGGGACATGGCAGGTTGGGCATATCTGACATCTGTGGTCTTGCATTGCAGGCTCACGCGATGGTTCTATGGGCCTCTGGGAGGTGACAGATGATGTGTTGACCAAAAGTGATGCATGCCATAATGTGTCACGGGTCCCTGTGTATGCCCACATTACTCATAAGGCCTTAAAGGACATACCCAAGGAAGACACAAACCCTGATAACTGCAAGGTCCGGGCTCTAGCCTTCAACAACAAGAACAAGGTATGAACTCACTAACTGATCCTGAAGCCTGTGCTTCAACGTCTTGGCTTACTTCTTGGGAGATATATCCCCTTTCCCTTCCTCAAATCAGTGCTTGCTACATAGCTTGGTTCTGAGCCCTCAGAGCACCTCTTGAAGTGCTGAGAGATGTTGGTGAGAAACTGAGAGTGTGAAACTCATCCTTTGGACTGATCTCTGGGTATTTCCTTGGGTGATCTATATCTATGGGTCAGTACCACAGTGTAATGGAATGAATTCTGCCCCCAAAAAATATGTATTGTAATTCCTAACCTTTATGCCTGTGGTTATAATCCCATTTGGGAATAGGTTGTCTGTATTATGCTAATGATACACAATTAGTATAGGATGTGTCTTGAATCAATCTTTTGCAATATAAAAGATTTCACAAGCAAGCTAGACATGAGGGAAGAGAGGTGCCAAGCCTCATGAATATCCCATAGGAACAGAAGCTCAAAGAGACAAGAACCTTCTAGAGCCAGCAGAGAGAGCCTTTTAGAGCTGGCATCTTGAATTCAGACTTGGAGCCTCCTAAACTGTAAGAAAATAAATTTCTGTTTGTTAAAGCTGCCCATTTGTGGTATTTCTGTTACAGCAGTGCTAGATAACTAAGATGCAGAATTTCCCAGGACCACTTTGATTTGTCTCTCATTCCCACATGCCTTTACAGGTATTCTATTTTGGGTGTACTTTTCATACGTGCCTCTGAAAGCAGTCACTTTTGTTCTTTTGGTATTCATTTTCTTCTCAGTCTTTACTCTTCTCCCTCTACACTGCCCCCAGGTCCTACCTAATCATGGAGTCAGATCTGGATCTGGAGTAGTAAGTAGAGTAACATGATCTAAACCCAAAGTAAGAAGTAAAGAAAACCTGCTTCCAAAGTCTGAGTTGGGCCACAGTTTGAAGAGTAGTTCCTTTGTTGTTGTTAGGTGCCATTGAGTTGATTCTGACTCAGAATGACCCTGTGTACAACAGAACAAAGCATTGCCTAGTTCTGTACCATCCTCACAGTCGTTACTGTATTTGAGCCAATTGTTGCATCCACTGTGTTGATCCACCTTGTCAAGCGTCTTCCTCTTTTTCACTGGCCTTCTACTTTATCAGGCATGAGGTCCTTCTCCAGGGACTGGTCGCTCCTGATAACATGTCATAAATACATGAGAGGATGTTTTGCAATCCTCACTTCTAAGGAGCATTCTGATTTTTTTTTATTCTAAGACAGATTTTTTTCATTCTTCTGGTAGGCCATGGTATATTCAGTATTATTTGCTAGCATTATAATTCAAAGGCATCAGTCAGTTCTTCTATGGTCTTCCTTATGTTTACTCCAGTTTTCATATGCATATGAAGCATACGAAATACCTTGGTTCTGGTCAGGTATACCTTAATCCTCAGAGTGACATCTTTACTTACTAATACTTCATAGAGATTTTTGCAGCAGATTTGCCCAATGCAATATGTCATTTGATTTCATGACTACTATATATTTGTTTCATTTAAGTCTACAATGTGGATTTATTTCTACTAGATTAGACCCTCCACTTCTAGAAACTTTTACACTGAGATTTATGAAACTGCCCTTTATGTTTGTGCTCCCTCTGACTATCCAACAATATGTCACAGGGATGGTTACCCATTGAAGACTTTTTCAACCATGGTGCCATAAATTGAATTAAGTTCCCCTAAAATATGTACACTTCATTCAGCATCTAGTTAGTATGAGCCAGATAAGCCACAGTCCCATTCATTCTCGGGGGGGGGTGTGTGTGTGAAGAAGTAGCATAGTGGCTAAGGCACTTGACTGCTAACCAGAAGGCTGGTGGTTCAAACCCACCAGCCACTCCTCGGAAGGAAGGTTGGGCAATCCTACTTCCGTAGTGATACTGCCTCGGAAACCCAAGGAGGGGTCGCTATGAGTCAGGGCTGACTCGACGGCACATAACAACAACAACAACAAAATATGTGTCAATTTGGCTAGGCAGTGATTATCAGTGGTATGACAGTTATGTGATGATATAGTTTGGCAGGTAAATAATGATACAGCCATTCTGTGTTAAAATTATAGGGTAGGATGTATCTCCTAAACTGAGAGAATAGATTTATATTTGTTAAAGCCATCCACTTGTGGTATTTCTGTTACAGCAGCACTAGAGAACTAAGACAGAATTTGGTGCTGGGAGTGGAGTACTGATCTAACAGATACCTAAAATGTAGAAGTGGTTTTGGAATTGGATGAAGGTCCCTAATGGTAAAAGCCTAAATTGCTGTGAAGTGACTGTTAGAATTATGGATGTCAAAGGCAATTCTTTTGAGGATTCAGAAGGAAGTAAGGAGAGCCATAGAGAGATTTCTGTCGTTCTAGAGAATACATACGGCACCAGCAGCAGAATGTTGCTAGAAATGTGGTCGTTCATTGTGCTTCTGGTGAGCCTGTAAAAGAAAATGCTCAACATGTGATTGAACAATGGAGGAAGGGCATTGCTTTTTATGCAGTGGCAAAGAATTTATCTGAATTATGTTCAAATATTTGGTGGAAGTCACTTGTAAGTGATGAACTTGGATATCTGGCTGATGAGATTTCTAAGCAAGATCTTAAGGGGACTGTGTAGTTTCTCCTTGTCTCTCATAGTAAAATGCAAGAAGAAGGAAATGGACATAAAAATGGTCTGTGCAAAATGAGAAAAAAAAGGTTTGGAAATTTCTCTTTTACAAACTGAGGATACTTGTCCAATTCCATAGCAGGAAACAGGCCAAAGGAGGTACATCTGTTGTCCTCCAAGAAAAAAGATTGGCTGAGTTTGAACATACTCCATTGTACCCATTGACCTAAGCCACAGAGGCTAGGGTTGGAGTGAGAGAGAAAGGGCTGTCTGGTTGGAAGTGCAGGAAGGTGTGTGGGCTCCTGAGCCTACGACTGGTACCTATTATTCACCTAGCCCACAGAGGCTAAGGATGAGCTGACTAGAACCCAATAAAATGAAGAGAAAGATGTTTAACATCATGAGCTGGTGTAGATTGCTGCAATTTGATGCCTTACTCTTGGAGTGGACTTTGCTTTTGTGTGCACATACTCAAAGTCCTAACCAGAACACAAGGAGATTTTGGTCTTATAGATGATTTAAGGCTTTTGGAATGCTGTGATGGATGAATGCGTTTTACATGTGGCAAGGACATGAAATTTTGGAGACCAAAGTATAGAATGTCATGGATTGAATCGTATCCCCCCAAAAATATGTGTTAACTTGGCTAAGCCAAGATTCTCAGTGGTTTGGCAGTTATGTAATGATTTAGTCATTGTATATCATGTAGTCAGTGATACCCAAACCCACTGCTGTCGAGTTGGATCCAACTCATAGCGACCCCTCTTTGGGTTTCCAAGGCAGTATCACTACAGAAGTAGATTGCCTGACCTTCTTTTCGAGGAGTGTCTGGCAGATTTGAACCACCAGCCTTCTGGTTAGCAGTTAGATGCCTGCCTTCGGTGCTATGCCACCAGAGCTCCTGTTAGGTGGGATTAGGGTGGAGTTATCTTGAGTTGAACCCTGTAAGTGCTGTCTTAAGTCATCGCCTTACTGGAGTCACACCCTTCTTTGAGTCACATCTTCTGTCTTACAGGAGAGAATAGGAGAAGGAAGGGAGCAGAGAGAGAGGGACTTAACCACCAAGAAAGAAAGAGCTAGAAGCAGAGTGTGTCCTTTGGACCCAGGTTCCCTGCACTAAGAACCTCCTAGGCCCAAGGGAAGATTGATGCCAAGACACATCCAAGGAATGCCAGGATTATAGATGTTGAAAGGAAGTAAGAATCTTCCCTCAGAGCCAAAAAGAGAGAAAGCCTTCCCCTAGAGCTAGTGCCCTGAATTCAGACTTCTAGCTTCCTACATTATGAGAGAAAAAATTTCTGTTTGTTGAAGCTATCCTCTTGTGGTATTTCTATTATAGCAACACTAGATAACTAAGACACATGGGTACCTGCATTATTTGCTGGGTCTTGGACTTGTTTCTTGGATTCTCTCAAGAAGCACCCTCAACATCATATGCTGTCCAGCTGCGTTTCATAGGGATGCTGAGGCTTAAAATTGCTGGCACCCTGCTAGGATTTTCATGAGTTAGTTTTAAAGAATGGGAAGACCTTAGCCTTCCCCTGGTTACTCTTGTACATTAGTTCCTACCAATTGGACTATAATCTGTTTTTCATTGCTCTTACAGGAATTGGGAGCAGTCTCTCTGGATGGCTACTTTCATCTCTGGAAAGCTGAAAATACATTGTCTAAGGTATGATGAATCTTGGTAACTTCACCTAGTAATTGACCTTGTGGTTAAAATACTTCTCATTTTTGTCTAAAACACAAGTTCTCCAAAGACTTAGGTTTGTTACTGCATGGTGCATGAGATTCTGTCTAGGTCTAGCATGCCTTTCTTGAAGGAAAGTCTTTTTAAAGAGATCAGTGGAGATGATTCTATCACATTGCAAAGGCTTCCTGAGAGACTCCTTTAGCTAGCTGTCCTTCCATCCATAATGAATATTCATTACTTAGTATGCTGTGAGGGCACAAAAACCTAAATAGTAGGAACCACTGGCAGCTGAAGATCAATTAAATTAAGATAAGCCATCTCTGAAATAAACGTGGAAGTTAATAAGAAAATTTACAAACAGCTTTTGCATAGAGTTAAACCTACACATGGGTCTTGCCCTCTTTTTATCCCAGAGGCCTTTGCTATTTGTTACTCCTGTTGATTGGCTCTTCCTCAAGAGGAAGCAGGGTCCAGGAATTATTAATTCTTCTATGTTACACCCTCTTTTGAACTCCACTGACTTTACATAGTGCCTTTGTAGACACCAATGAGGATTTGCTGAATGACACCAGGGTTAAGGCAAATTTGGTTTTCTGGGATTGAGACAATGTACTTTCTCTAGGGTACAGTTCCCGCACAGTTAGTCCAGTTAAGCTGCCAGAAATCACCCCTTGGGAGGGTAGTGACTCTGAGAGAAAAGGGTGGGACCTTGGCTTTAGTGCCCTGAGGTTACCCCCTGGAAACAGCCTGTAGGTTTTGGCCTTTTCCCTCTACTTCTCATTATTTGTTCCAGATTTGCCTTCTTCCCTAAGCTATCCTCTTCAGTACCTTGATCTTATTGGTTAATATAGCGACCCTCTATTTCTCTTTAACACTTAGCGGGGAAACAGGGTGATATTTCCTTAATCAGAGCTTGTCTTTTTCTCTGTGACTTGTGTGTAACTTGTGTATTAGGGAAGCCCACAGAGGTGGAATCCACAAATACACCATGTCTTAGGCGCTCTGGTAATGGCACAGGTGTCTCTCTTTTCTGGTTTCAGCTTCTCTCCACCAAACTGCCGTATTGCCGTGAGAATGTATGTCTCGCCTATGGTAGTGAATGGTCAGTGTATGCAGTAGGCTCTCAAGCACATGTCTCCTTCTTGGATCCACGGCAGCCAACTTACAACGTCAAGTCTGTCTGTTCCAGGGAGCGAGGCAGTGGTAAGAGTCCAAGGTGCTCCTCAGACTTACAGCTGCATTGCAAATGAGTTTTGATCTTGAGTTTTTGTGTTGGTTTTATAAACAAGGGTCTATGTGGAATAGGTGGATATTTGATGATACAAGAGGAAGCTTAATTACCTGCATATGGCAACAACAAATGTGTGGTTACAGAAACCATTACTGGAAACCAGCAATCAGAATATTAGTAGTTTCCATGTTCTTTGAGCTTTGCTTTCTATCTTGTGGTAATGTTTTCTGTAACCCTGCCTGAACTAAAATTCAGTTTATGCTAACGGGTTTTGGGGTATGGGAAGGACTTTACAAAGAAAACGTTTGTTATTTTGACTATGGTGATGGTGTTGTGGACATTTGCCATGTCAAAATATCAAATTGTACACTTTAAATATGTACAGTGTGTTTTGTGTCAGTTATACCTTAGTATATCTGAATAAAATATTTAATTTAGTGCTAACACTGGATGACATAGGTTTTAGCCTCCGATCTTCTTTGGCATATTCTCTCTCAGAGTACCTGCATTGTCAGTGAAAAGATGAAACTCTTTCTTGGGGAAAAGAAACTTATATTTATAGTGTACTTTAAAGTTTCAGGATATCATTTTCTGACATAATTTGATTTCATCCAACTAAGAGCCTTGTTTTTAGATGAGGAGATTGAAGCCCAGAGTACTTAAATAACCTGACCAACATCACACAGCCTGGTTGGAGAACAGCCAGGGGAGAACATCTGCTTCTTTACCTCTCTGTCCTCTTTCTCATCTAAAAATACGGTTAGAAATGTTTTCTGAGAGTCCTAGAAGGCACAATATGGATCATAATTGAAGTGTAGTTTATCCTTCAAGTCAAATTTATTCCTTTATAGATCATGCATGAGTAGTTTTTCTTTTGAGTTGGTTTTTAATTATAGCTAAGACTCTCACATTTTGAAACAGAATAATATTTAGAAAGTATAGTAGGATGAGGAATATACATAGGTTTGGCTGGAATGGTGTGTATAATGAAAAGTTTAAGGGATTTTGGTCACTGTTACTGGAGTAGCTTTCATACCTAATAAGGAAACATTCATTCCACAGCATTATCAAGCATCTCTTATGTGCCAAAAGGCATTTTCATATCCCATGCACTTATTTTGGTCCATAGGTGAAACATTTTTTAAAAAATCGAAATTCATATATATACAACAGAACATTCTTTCACCTATTCAGCAGTTATTACATGTATAATTAAGTTAGATAACATTTTTTCCCCCTATGACGTAGAGTGATTAGATGACTCATCTTAAAGTGGTTCATATATATACAACACTGTCTAGTGCTTCTGTGGGTGCATAAGTCCTGGCTGTTTGCCTTCCTCATAACATACATAGATAAAGACCCCCCTTGCAGTCTGGATGCAACAGTGGGTCTCTCCTAGTCCAGAGCAAAGAAGAATGAAGAAAACTGAAGACACCTGGAAACAGTAAGTTCAAGGAACTGGTAGACCATATGATCCTTAGCCTATATGCCCGTGAGACCAGAAGAACCAGGTGGGGCCTGGCTACCACTGTCAACCACTCAGAAAGGGATCAGTGCAGGAGATCCTGGATAGAGTGGGAGAACGATGTGGAACAAAACTCAAAATCATTTAAAAAAAAAAAAAAGTTTACTGGTCTAATAGAGCTTGGTGAGACCCCCTGAGACCATTAACCCTTGTTACCATTCAGGTCTGGAACTGATCTCACTCCTTTGGCTTCCAGCCAAACAATAGGCAGGCCTGTAGGATGAACATTTACATGAGGGGGGCACACTCCTTGCAGCAGTCAGTCGATCAGTCATGGGAGAACAGAAAGGCAGTGCTTGCATGGATTGATAGTTTGGGGGGCAGGAATGCACAGGGAAGAGGGAACTACAGGGAGGAAGTGGGAAGAGATCTATTGACATTGTGGGGAATTGCAGTCAATGTCATGAAACAAAATGTATGTGAACTGCTGTATGGAAAATGAATTTGCTCTGTAAACTTCCACCCAAACCACAATAAAAATTAAAAAAATAAAAAGATCCCGTGAAGTTCCATGGTAGTAGTTTAAGTCAAATACAACAAAGTTACAGGTACAATGATTTTGTAAATATGAAGATTATGCTGAGTTGTAGTATGTTGTTGTTGTTGTTATGTGCCATCGAGTCAGCCCTGACTCATAGCGACCCCTCCTTGGGTTTCCGAGGCAGTAGAATTGCCCGATTGGAAATATATAATGAAGAAGAGCTTGAATTATGAAAGATGACTCCAGAGTAGTCTAGGGAAGGCAAGGATATTTGGGGCATGCTATGATTTTAAGCCAAAACTGTCTTGTGCATCCTCAGGCACCTATCCCTTCATTGACAAAGCACTGTCTGGTACTTGAGGGTGACATGTAAACTTGATATTGGAGAGATTCAAGCTAGCAGACTATTAGTGTGTACTTCTCCCTGGTCATTGCTCTTTGCTTTTCTTTGACCCTCAGGGATCCGGTCCGTAAGCTTCTATGAGCACATCATCACTGTGGGCACAGGGCAGGGCTCTCTGCTATTCTATGACATCCGAGCTCAGAGATTTCTGGAAGAGAGGCTTTCAGCTTGTTATGGGTCCAAGCCCAGACTAGCAGGGGAGAATCTGAAATTAACCACTGGCAAAGGCTGGCTGGTGAGTAAACCCCTGCCTCAGATGGTTGCTGCATAGTGACAGAAAAATTTTCTTCCTTCTCTCCCTAACCCTTGCTGACACATCACCTACAGACATACTTTTTCCTATTAAGACACACTCCATGGAGCAGCAGAGAAAGCCAAGTATTTTCCATTGATTTTTGCTTTTGTGTCTGCATATTGTCCATGGGAGAACTGAGGCCCAGTAAGGCTCATTGGATGACCAGAATCCCCCCAGATGGTAATAGAGCAGGAAAGATACTTTCCACCAAGGCTACCAGTGAATTATTAAAAAGCTTAGTTCCAGAAGTCCTGAGAAGACCTTAGGTTTGTCTAGCAGTGCTTTAATTCTGTTCCTCTCTAATGTTAAGTGGGAAAAATGAGACCCAGATTCCCATGAGTACCAACCTTCTGGCATCAGATTATAGGTACAGGACCCACTTCTCAAGGAAACCAGAAAGCATTCCTGTCTCCCTTCCCCCTTTTCTGCCCCTTGGCCTGGAGGTGCTAACAGAGTCTCTTTCTCTCCCTATAGAATCATGATGAAACATGGAGGAATTACTTTTCGGACATTGATTTCTTCCCCAATGCTGTTTACACCCACTGCTACGACTCGTCCGGAACGAAACTCTTTGTGGCAGGAGGTCCCCTCCCTTCAGGGCTCCATGGAAACTATGCTGGGCTCTGGAGTTAATGACAACTCACTTTCTCCCAAAATGCAGAGATTTACACTAACTTCCATCCTGAGTTTCCTTGTTTCTTTTTTTTTTACCCCCAGTTGGGTGAGGCTCTCAAATTTTAGTGGGAACACCAGAGTTTACCTGTGGTTTAGGCATTTTACAGGAAGAAGCTCTGTACAGAAATCTGAAGGGGCCTTTTCATTTTTCCCTTTTAGTAATTAGAATTTTAGTTTATTGCCTTTTTTGTTCGATTCTCACAAAACATTATTATTAATCCCTATTTGTATTTTTTTTCTTTAAGTGACACATACTCTCACCTCTCTGGCTTCCTCTTTAGGCTGACACAGTCATTCTCACCCTTACTTCACTCTTGAGGTAGGGTTTCTTTGTAATTATGTGGTTGCTGTCAGACTTTCTGTGAAAGTTTGGGGGCTGTGTGTGTATGCGTGTGCGTGTGCCTGCGTGAGCCTGTGTGTCTGTAGATACTGTGTGTCACTGAAATTACCGGGAGTGAGGAGTACTTGTAATTAAAATATTTATAAAAGAAACAACTTTATTCACGTAGTCCACCTTTGGGACTAGTCTTTATCTTGCTTTTTTAAAGTCTAACCACACTGATTATATGAAGTAAAAACAAAGAAAAACAGATATCCATTGGGAAAACCCTTTGAGTTAGTTTGCAGGCTTCTTGAGGGCCCCCATGCCAGGCCTCCAATGTGATCCAGTCCCTACCTGTCCTCCCACTTGTGTGTCCCCGGGTGAGAACACTTCTTTGTGTCACTTGCACTTCCCTGCCTCCTATCTGGTTAGCCAGTGGCTACTCCCCTGAAACAAGGTCTTATTCCAGATGCATCTCTGTAGGCAGCTGAAGCCATAAGACTTAGTAAAGAGGATCTCTGTCCCAGACACCCCACCCCTCAAACAAGACCTGATTTGGTATTTCAGGGCCTGGTGCTGGGGGTCTCAAGTCTACTAAGATGCACATATTCCCTGGATTTGGGGAGAAACTCTTCTCCTTTGCCATTCCTCTAGTCTCCCCAGTAGATTTTGTTTTCTAAATTGAATTCAGTCCAGGAGGTTGGGAGTGAGTAGGAGGTGTATCTGTGTGTAGTGAGTACTTCGTGTATGTAATGGTGAGTTTCTCAGTGCAGTGGGGCTAGGGTTGAGGCCACGCCTCCCTCTCTATTGGCTGAGCTCTAGGATGGTGATGGGGTAACCTGCAGCCAGCAACACTGTGCGTGTAACAGCTTTGATGTGATTAGTAATTTGTCTGTTCCTCCCTTGAACTATCTGTGTAGTCTGAGGTTTTTAAACTTGTAAGCAACTGACTGTGATGTCCAGTTATTCCCTGCTTTTTTTATGCATCATGTTGCAGATAATTAACAGCTGTTCCCCCCCACAAATTCCTCCTCTCTTCTAAGCACATAATCTGTGTCTCTGTCAACAGACCACTTGGGGAAAGGAAAAGTTCTATTTTTACTCCACCCCAGCTTATGAGCTGCTCTCCCAGTTTTCCCCTCTGCTCTGGGTGTCAGTGGGGAGAGTGGAAAGAAGAATGTCCTCCCCTTGATGGTGGGGGGCGGACAGCTGGAGAGGGAAAGCAGCAAGTCCACTCTAACTTGGTGATACAAGGCATATACCACTGGTTCTGGAATTCTCATCTTCTAACCTAGAGAAATAGGTGCTATAAACAGGGAATTACGCAAAATGCTGGATGTTACAGATCTTTCAATTGTCTTAATTTTTTTCTATTATTAAACTACAAGCTGTAGATTTCTTAGTTCTCACAGAACTTCTGTTATTTTAAACTGACTTGTATATTTAAAAAAAAAAATTCTTAAGTAGGATGTTTTGTACTGTTGCCTGACCCTCTTCTGTGATGGGTAATACGTTTGATTGTTTGGGATTTTCTGTTTTTAAAAATGTAGCACTTGACTTTTTGCCAAGGAAAAAAATAATAAATATTATTCCAGAGCAAAGTAGTTTGAGTGAATGTATAGCCACGAGGCTAGTGAAAAAAAGTCCCAGATGGCTGGTTGGAGGTCAGCTTGGGGTGCTGAAATTGCTTGAGACATTAGGGGTACACAAGAATTCCCTCCATGTTGGAGGCAGAACAAGTACAGGGACATAAACGCCAAGACCTACTTGCCCCTACATCAGGCTCAGTTGGCATAACACTACACAAAAGCATTATTCTGTATCCTACTTTGGTGAGTAGCAGTGGGGGTCTTAAAAGTTCACATGCAGCCATCTAGATGCAACAATGGACCTCTCCTCATCCAGAACATAGACGAATGAAAACCAGAGATGCGTGGAAACATTTAGTCCAGTGGACTAGTAGACCAAATAATCCTCAGCCTTATATGACCATGAGTCCAGAAGATCTACATGTGCCTGGCTACCACTGTTAACCACTCAGGGATCAGTGCAGGAGATCCTGGATAGAGTGGGACAACAGTGTGAAACAACACTCAAAATCATTTAAAAATAAAAGACCAGGTTTACTGGTCTGATAGAGCCTTGTGAGACCCCTGACACTATAACCCCTAGTTATTCTTCAGGTGTGGAACTGAACTCACTCCTGTGGCTTCTAGCTGAACAATGGACAAGTATATGGTGTGAACGTTAGGTAGATACGCTCCTTGGAGTGATTGATTAATCGAGGGAGAACAGAAGGGCAGTGTTTACACAGGGAGATAAAGGGCGGAGGTGCATGGGAGGGAAAGACAGGCAAGAGGTAATCACAGGGAGGAAGTGGGAAGAGAGCTGTTACTTTGTGGGAAATTGCTGTCAATGTCATGAAACAATGTGTATGAACTGTATGAGAAATGAATTTGCTCTGTAAACTTCTCATACCACAAAAGCCCTACCTGCCACTGGTCCCCAGTTTTGGGAAAAATATGCCCAGGGAAAGTAGTGTGGTACCTGGCAGGCTGAAGATGAGGAGGGAAATTGCTACTCCTTGCTTTGCCTGGATTTGGGAAAAGTGACCAGCTTCTCTTACTATCAGGCTTCCCTTACATAAAACAGTGGTTTTATAATAGTCCTTTCCTGTTTCAGTGCAGGTACCCTGAAAATGAGTAGCTGCACAGTGCCCTGGGAACAGGATTGTTTTTTATAGTTGGGGCCATAGATCCTAGATGCCCTTTATAAGAGGAGGGCACAGTGACCATAGTGAGTGATACTTTCCCAGAGCCTGTTTGGATCTGTAGCTGAAAGAAAGGCAGCCTGCTGAATCAGACCACCTTCTCACACAGCCATCTCTAGAAGACCCAACCAGGCTTGTCTACTGAACCTATTCTGTCACATGGCACTTGTTCCTTTCCAAGGCAAGCTGGATAGCTGCCCTTTGTACCTGCCTTAGAGACTGACTAGTTCAGAACATTTTTTTGTGTTGTTATGTGCCGTCGAGTCAGCCCTGACTCATAGCGACCCCTCCTTGGGTTTCCGAGGCAGTATCACTACGGAAGTAGGATTGCCCAACCTTCCTTCCGAGGAGTGGCTGGTGGGTTTGAACCACCAGCCGTCTGGTTAGCAGGCAAGAGTCTTAGCCACTATGCTACCAGAGTTCAGAACATAGGGACCTATATAATCACAGGCTGCAAGGCAGGAAGGGGTACGTAGGTAAATGAATTGAAGCAATTTGAGATGGCTTCCTAAAGTCCATGAGAGGTTCTGTGAAATAACATTACATGATTTGAACATTGTGGCAAACACCATATTGTAGTCTGGTCCTGCTTTTTCTTTAAACATCTCAAACTTCTGCCTTATCGGTGATCATCTTAGCAGTGCTAAGAGGAATTTGAGTTTGTATTTGGTTCTCAACCCATGTCATTAGCAGTTTCTCCATCTCATATAGGTCCTTCTTGCATTTTTGTTAGCCTTGTAGCTTTACATGCTGCCTATCCTTTAATAGCTTGGAGAATTTTTTTTTTGTCTTTGAAGATTACGGTGTTGAAGTGCAACACCCCTAAATTGTGACCAGTTACATTCACTGGTTTTCCACTTTGTTTCATATCTTTTTGTTGCACTTACAAATCAATACTTTGCCTTTTGCTGCTACTAGCACTAGCATTGGTTTTGATGCATTTGGGAACCATGATGCACTTCATGGTAATTTTTTCAAAAGAAAATTAAACAATGCTACAACAATTGAAATGCATGATGTCCGAGATTGGATGCTGCTGGCTACAAATGGAAGCATACACTGTTACACAGTAAACTTTTTAGGCGGAAAGTACATAAGCCAGTAACGTAGGTGTTTATTATGACTATTAAGACATGTAGTATAGGTTATATGTGTACTATACCATTACACAGGTGGTGTAATGGTATACACAATCATTTTGTATGTAAGAGATATGAGATACCCATGTTATGTATGGGAAGCTGTTGGCATTCTCTATGTCCCTTTCTCCAGTCAGAATTTCTGAACTCTACTATAACCTTATGGGACCACGGACATGCATATATGCATTTGGACACTGCCCAAACAACCGTTACGCAGCGTATAACTTTTTTTTTAAGAGTACTGCATCCATGTAACAGTAATTGTATCTGCAAAATTTTCATCGTCAAATCATTTATGGGAAATACAGGTTAAAACAAAGACAGAAGTCTTTCTTTTACCGCTTCTCAGGTTCTTAGTTGGTACTGTGTTCCATGGAACATGCTCAGAAAAAATGACTTAGGGGAGATAGGGTACTCCTGGCCTGGGCCTCTGGCCTCAGTGGAATCTTGGCCCTGCTCCCATTTTCCAGTCAGACTTTCCAACAGAGCATCTATCACAGAAGGGCTTTGTGGACTTTATGGGGTCCTCCCTTTGCTGCCAGCAGTCCCCACTCCCAGGCAATGAAAGAACTTCCTTGTTCTTCAGGCCACATGCCTCATTCCAAATGGTCTCTTGTTGGCTCCTCCCATCAACCTTTGAGTCCTTTTGCAGAAGGCTCTGGAACGGAACTGAATTTCTAGGCTTTCAAGCCTCATTTATGCTTCTGTCCCTAGGTATTCTTAGTAAAGCTGAAGACTCCCAGTCTAAACCTCTCTCTGATTTAGCTACAGCCCAGACATTTCCTAGAACAAGTATCCAGAAATAGCAAGTCAAAATATCTCTATCCTTCACGTAGAATTGAGAGTCAGTCTTGTGTTTAC